CACCTTTAATTACATTATCTCTCCGTACAGAAAACACACAATATCAGTTAAAATAGCATAATTCGTATAATATCTATTTGAACTCCCCTCACTGAATAGCTTGGATCTGAGCGCACAATCTGTCGAAGTACCGCTCAGATCCGTTCGTTAGACTAGAGAAGCCATTGGAGTGAAGTTATGGACCGGTCAGCCACGAGGCGAGAGCCCCCAAATAGTTCCAGGCAATTGCAGGCTTTGACCGGTCTTCTTTCGGGAGTTCCTATGAATTAACAAATGAAAATACACATTAATATACTGAATGGTCATGTGTCTGGAGGTCGGTGGTTTCATTTAGCTGAACGCCGCTACATTTGGATGAACGGGTCTATCTGCATGAATGGCATGGAAGTTCAGCGGTGTTTGCGAGGTCGAGTAGCCAATTTTAGTTCCATGCACTCGACGACCAAACGCCACTGGGTGTTTGTGCGCAAAGATGGCCACCGCCACGTGTTCATTCATACGAATGGCGGCCACCCATTAAACCATTAGAGGTTTGCGGTTTCACTATGTTGCCATAGACTCCCTTGTGTGGTCCTCCATTCGACAGTTTATTCGTTTTCACGAACAGTATATCCCTATTCTGTTCATGAAGTTAACATAACGAATGCACATAGTCTTTATACAGGGAAATAAACGAATGAACCGAGTTCTTGTACAATGAAGTGGCTATTTTGCCACACAGACAGATTGGGGAAAATGTATCAAAGCATTCTGTAAAGTGTGTTTTATTTTTATCTCTAATCTTTTGGTAGTTAATACATTATTCTTAAAATGGCCTAAAAAGTATTGTCTTTTCTCTACCTTAAGTTCATTGTTTTTCACACCTTACAAAGACATATTTGTTAAATAAAGGGATTGATAAAGATCATGTTGAAAAATCCCAGCAGGTGACGACTCCACTTTAATAATTCATTACTAGAAAACCATTTAATGCATTCGTTAATTAGTAAATTTGTACATTTTATAACAAATTTAAGCATTAATTGATAACTCAGTATGTTAACACAGAAAAACTGCTTCAATCATTTTATTTCACAATGAGCTGGATTTAATGAAGTAATTTTACAAACATTGGCTTTTAAGTGTGGAAATCAGACACATAGTTGGGGGGTTTGAAGAGAACTTATCTTGAGAGTATTTATATATTTGGAGTAGGATATATAAGCCAACGATTAGAATTCCCAAAACCACAGCTGATATATTCAGGTGAAATGCAGTACGTGAGTTGTTCTCTGCAGACGCCATATCATGACGAGCTACGGCTGTTTGTGTCTGAAAGATACAGATAATAAAGTTTTGCCGGTTTAGATTGTAGAAATGTAATGACTTATCTTTAATTACATGCATTTATGTAGATTACCTTCCTACCTGTTATTAGCCCATTGGTAATTTACCCAATTCAACCTAATAATAATAATAATAATAATAATAATAATAATCTCAATGGTCTGCCTGTTTAGGCTGAAACTCTGGGAAGCTTCCCATTCACCCCATGGATCAGCTATTTGTGAGAATCTTGTCCCAGACCTCGGACCCTTATCACGCAGGTAGAGTTTTGCTAGAATCTCTGTCACTGTGTAAGTTTAAGTCAGGGATGTTGACTGGTGTCAATACTTGAGTATTTGAGTAACAGTTAAGTCACAAACCATTCCCAATATCTAAGATATACAGGGATATTTACTAAAGAAAGAATTGTTGGAAATTCAAAGTGAAGTCGGTTTAGAATCTCAGACCAAAATTAACAGGTTTTATATTATGTAATCAGCTTATATGCTGGCGACTTGCTGATAAACCTCGTTACTAACCGACTTCTGTTCTCGTTTTGTATCAGTGTGTTTAGCGCTATATTCCCTGCCGGTGTAATTCTCATTGTTCCTTTTTGATACATTGTATATATCACATACATCATATATACTATATGGCTGATAGCGTTACAGACAAACCATTTAATAATAAATGATCGCAGTTACCTTGTTAGAATAGATGAGAGCGTCAAGCCCAAGGGGTAGGCAGCAGCAGAGCATGTTCATTATAGACCAACATATATAATCCTTTGGAGGTCTCTGAGATTCTCCTAAATGTGTTGCCACATCAGGTGGGTTATCCCAGGTAATGGAGGATGGTTGCTGCATGTTTGGCTGGTGACACCGCTGGGCAGTAAGGCTGACGTATTGTAGAAAGTTGCTATAGCCTCACACCTTTCTGATGATACCAAAGTCTATGTGACAATGAGCTTAATGTTTACTGAGTATCACGTGTCTCATCCTCTTTTGGGATGGGTGGCTGTTTCTCCATCAGTTTAAAAAATGTAAAAACCCAACATTTCTCAGAATAAAATCCGCCTCCCCTTCCTATAGTTGTCTGCACAAGTGCATAAAAGGCTGCTATATATTTTGCAAACATGTATGTGCTCAGGTGCACGTTATTTGGCTGGGTGGGTCTTCCCATCAAGGTCATAACTAGGAACCACACGGCCCCCTCCCACTTTTCCCCTCCTGGCTCTCCCCCAAGTATACCTGAGCGGTGTGTGTGTGGTGGCTGAGTGTGATTGTGAGTAGGACTCGGCTGAGTGTGATATACATATAGGAGAAAACAAGGTACATTGGCGTTGTGGCAGGCTTATGCAATGTTTGATCATATAATATAACTAAACCCCCATTATTTTTTGCCTAGCTTAGGTGTTTTTAATAAAACTTATAAAATTGGTCAGAACTAAAATAACTGATTAGTAGATAAAAGAGTGCGCTGAGTCTTCATTTTTACTGTACTTATTGGCCCCCAGCAGCACCCCATTTAAAGGACCACTATAGGCACCCAGACCACTTCAGCTTAATGAAGTGGTCTGGGTGCCTGGTCCATCTAGGGTTAACCCTTTTTATTTTATAAACATAGCAGTTTCAGAGAAACTGCTTTGTTTAAAAATGGGTTAATCCAGCCTCCAGTGGCTGCCTCTTGACAGCCGCTAGAGGCGCTTGCGTGCTACTCACTGTGAAAATCATAGTGAGAAGACGCCAGCGTCCATAGGAACGCATTGTGAATGCTTTCCAATGGACTGGCTGAATGCGTGTGTGGCTCTTGCCGCGCATGCGCATTCAGCCGAAGAGGTGGAGAGGAGGCGGAGAGGTGGAGGAGAGCTCCCCGCCCAGCGCTGGAGAAAGAGGTAAGTTTAACCCTTTCCCTTTTCCAGAGCCGGGCGGGAGGGGACCCTAAGGGTGGGGGCACCCTCAGGGCACTATAGTGCCAGGAAAACGAGTATGTTTTCCTGGCACTATAGTGGTCCTTTAACCACTTTAGGACACATGACGGAACTATTCCGTCATGATTCCCTTTTATTTCTGAAGTTGTGTCCTTAAGGGGTTAAGTATGTTTAGGTGAGTGCAGCCAAACCCTTGTTTTCTCCTATATGTACAAGTAGGTCAGCGCCACCTAGTGTTTATAAAGAATAACACGCACCTACCTGTAACCATTCCTGTAATTAAACACCCTGTACAGATTGGAGTTTATTATCTAAACAGCAAATTAGAGAATAGAAGACTAAATTGCAAAATGTAGGCAGAACGCATTGCTTTGGAACAATTCTCTAACTCAGATACACATTTTATCCTCAACTTTCTCATTTGGAGTTCAATTCTCCACAATTCAGTGTTTAGTAGAGACACCTCACTGTTACATTGAGAACATATCTATTATTGCTATATATGCTAAAATCAATCACAAAATGTCCCTTTTTTTTTTTACAAAATATATTGTTTATTTTTCAAGACGTATTGTTACAGATTAGTTATACATATAAGAATTACACATATCTACAAATCTATCATTGATTTACAATAAAGGGGTTGACGTGTGATTTTAGGGCTCTGTAAGATCATCCTGATTCCATGCCAGGGAGATCCAGGTTCAGGTCACGACTGGCTGGCTGAGTGTCATTAGAGTCCACATTGAAGTGCTGAATGTTGATAATATTTGAATTATCCGTTGTAGTAATGATTATCATTGTAATAATATGTGTAGCGACGCGTTACACAGTAATAAATAACATAGATAATCCAGGCAAAATGCACAAAGATTCCACATGCCAGTGCCTTGAGGTTCTGCGCCCGTGCCCTCGCTGACGCCCACTGAGCCATAAAAGTGTCCCCTCTCTTCAAAGCATCTCGTGTCTACAATAAAGCAGAAAACATATATCTTATTCTGTGCTGGACATATGCCTAAACCACAACAGATTGCACATTAATTTACATTATCCAAAGCTAAAGTCAATAACAATCTCAGTGTCTCGATATTGTTCACAGTTAGTTAGGGTTTCCTGTAAAAAGCCACAGATATCATAAATTCACTCATTAAAGGAATAGCGTGGCCACAGTGGCCAGTTTTCCTTGCGACGTACATCTAATTTCAAAGGTTTACACATTTCCTGAAATATTACGATAAAATCATGAATAACATTTTGGTCACAAGCAGTAGGTGTGAGAAAAAAATAATAAACTGGGTCAAATACACTGCTTTTGTGTAATTTAAGGAACACGGAATAGTTTCGAAAACAGCTTCTTAAAAATTCCACCAAGTTCTAAAATAGTGGCTGTATGTGCATAGGAAATGAACGGAGTGTAAGCACTGTTAGACCATGCATCTCTCCTATACATGCTATCGCAGACGTCTGCTACATGAGTCAAATAATCTGTACAGAATACTCTACACTCAGAATCCTACAGATTATCCGCTCTGTCTAACAATAAAAATATAATTAGGCCCCTGTGTGATGATAATTTATATATTCTGTGGGTTTTTCTATGAAGGTGGATTTTTTAAAATTTCAAGTGAATCTAAAATTGTGTTTATTAAAAAAAAAAAAAAAAAAAAACAGCCAAATTGAAAGCATAACTAACATTTCCCACTTTGGTGAATAACTCTCTGGAGCTGTTCAGCTGTTTCACTGAGACATATTCATTAAATGACTAAATAAATTACTACATTTAGGTAAAAATAGACTAATTGGAGAAATCTTCCATTTCTGCCATTGATCATCTATAATATTATCATTATTTCTATTATTCGTTTGTTTTTGTAAATTAATTGCAATTAACTGCTTAGTTTGCAAACCCCAGGGTCCTATAGGAAAATAGAAACTTATAATTCATTTTGATAAGATTGTGGTTAAAAAGAAATATAAAACACGGAATGTGCTATAAATTAAGAACACATTGAAAAAGATGTAACTCTGTGTGAATTATCCCTGGTATTAGAACACATTATCATATTGCCCCACTATGGGCAACACGATAGCAGCAGGTCACGATATGTAATATACGGAGAATAAAGAATTGACATATCTGTGACATATCTGTGACCTATCCCACTTACAAGTAAGCACTTCTCCCCACGTCATTTGGGAGCCTACTATCACACTCCTGCTTGTGGCTACTAGCCCAAGATCTGACAAGACCGGAATTACGTGTATATCCACAGGCGGGGATCTTATTGGAGCTATTTAGAAGCTCCAGAAAATTGTAAGTGCTTTTCTTTATTCTTCTATCAACTACAAATACGTACTATACCAGGCATAGGCAACCTTCGGCACTCAAGATGTTTTGGACGACACATCCCATGGTGCTTTGAAGCATTATGGGTGTAAGAGCATTATGGGGGATGTAGTCCACAACATCTGGAGTGCTGAAGGTTGCCTATCCCTGTACTATACCATTGTGGGCCTCTTGTTTCTTTTATCTTGAATATTGATTTGAACCTGGGTACCCCACCATGGCGCTGCTACCCTTCCACCACTCGTTTTTGTATCCACCACCAGAAGTAAGAAACTCTGATTCAGGTCGTTCCAGCTGCCTTCCAGCGTTTATACAAGCGCTAAAAATCCTACTCGTTATTTATTATAAGGAAAGGAAACTGGGGGAAAAAGACATGACTGGGCACTTTAAGGGCTGTCTGGTTTACTGGTATATCCCCACCTGACGGGTCTACTGGTATATCCCACTTGACAGGTTTACTGGTATATCCCATCTGACTTATCTAGTGGTATTTCCCAGGTCTACTGATATAACTCACATGATGGGTTTACTGATATAACTCACATGATGGGTTTACTCGTATATCCCACCTGATAGATCTACTGTAAGCTTGTTTGAGAAGGGACCCTCATTGTTCAATTACTATGCATTCTCGGTATAAAACATATACTCTTAACAGGTTGGAACTCAAAATAAGTGCACCCACCCATCGAGCATCAACCGCACATGTACTTTGGCTGGCAAGGGAAAGTGGCATAGTGAGCTTAATGATGTACATATTTTAGCAAATACCAATTATAAGTTGCTTGCACTAAATACAGGCTAAATACTGTGCAATTAATATTTGGTGGTACTTGGAGTGCAGCCTCCCCAGGATGCCATCTGTTCCCCCCAGGATGCCATCTGTTCCCCCCAGGATGCATTCCCTTCCCCCCAGGATATATTCCCTTGCCCCAGGATACCTTCTCTTCCCCCCTGTAATCACGCCATGACAAATTTCACTGGGTTTTTTTACAACACAAAGCTCTGCTGAGAGATTTTTCCATTACCTGCGATAAATATACTGGTAGCTCTTTCTACCTGTCCTCACACAATGCATTTCAAGGATTGACAACCACCAGCCCCTCTCCACATTACCTTATAAGAGTAAATAAGGGCACCTATCGCAAAGACGGTGCAACAGAATAAGAGATTCACAATGGAGTATCTCATGTAATCATCATATTGCGGAGAACCGTCCGTTCGATTGTGCTGTGATGTATTGACCATATTCCTGTTGGCCTCTGGTGGTGGCAGGTAGAAAGAGGAAATCACAGTTCTGATTGTTCGCTGATTCTTTAAATATGGTGGAGGCTGATTATTGATTACTGTTGGTTGGGATTCTGATGGAGTCACTGAGGCCCCAGGTAATTCTGTGTAAGGTGGAGGCAAAGCAATTTCAGTAAGCTGGGAATAAGGCGGAGGCAGAATGAACATTGCTGGCTGGGGTTCTGAACGAGTCACTGCAAATTCTGGGAGTTCTGCGTAGGGTGGAGGCACGGTGACCTCGGGTAGTTGTGAGTATGGTGGAGGAACCATGAGCGTTGTTGGTTCTGAGGTTTGGGGAGCTCCAGTAATTCTTGGAAAGTTTAAGAATCGTGGCGGCTCGTTAGCCTCGGCTGGAACTCCACTTGGTGGAGGAGACGCCATCGTTATTGAATTTCGGTTTGATATCGGTAAATCTTCGAAGCAGCCAACATTAAATTTTTATTAGAAAGTTCAGGTTGCAAAATCTCTGTTCTGGACGTTCGGTTCTTCAAAGTTTAGACCATCAGCAGACAATGTCTCTCTCTCACTTCGAAGACAATTCACTCACCTTCTTAGGTGCTGTTTGTCCCAGGGGCAATGAGAAGTAATAATATCAACATGTCCTGCAAGTCACTCTCACACAGGACAGGTTTGAAGGTATGGAAAATGACACCTGTTATGCAAACAAATTCCTTCACATCTGTAGAAGAAAAGCTGGTTTGTATTGTGTTCTGCTCAACCTGATTGTTTGTCATCTCAGAGTTTTCTGGTTTGAGCAGAACTAGCAATATATTGCAGTGTTCAGGGCAGATAGCGACTCTATAAACAGCCCATCCCTTCTCAAACATGTCACATATTCTGTGTTTACTGCAGTTTGAGTTCTGGGAGGTAAGAACAAAAGAAAGTTATATGAACATAATGATATCATCATTCAGGGCCTGACAGGGCCACACAAATAGTCTGTTTTTTTTATTCCCAGTATAAAGGCCCAATAACAGGTCTTTGATTCACAAACACTTATTTTTATCAATTTTCCCAAAAAAGTGGCATTAATTACAGCAAATGCAGACCTGATAGCAAAGGCTATTGGACTGTGGATCCCTCCTACGCCACAATGTCTCATCCTTGACATGATCCCAAGTTCGATCCCTCGCTGCACACAGTAGTTACATCCTAACAACCACAAAAACCTCCACAGGCAGACAATGGAAAACAACAGCAATTCCATCGCTCCAAATCATGAATAGCATTACTGCATCTAAAAGACACTTCAAAAAAAGTGTATCTTATCTCCCATTTTTGTGTCTTACGCGTTCCGTGTGTGTGTCTGACTTCCCCCATTCACTTATGTTTCACTTACTTCTCTCCATCCCCTCTGTGTGTTATTATCCCTGTCCACATTTCCCTCTAGGTGTCATTATCCCCTTCCCCATCCCCTCTGGGTGTCATTATCCCCTTCCCCATCCCCTCTGGGTGTCATTATACCTATCCCTATCCCCTCTGGGTGTCATTATCCCTATCCCTATCCCCTCTGTGTGTGTCATTATCCCCTTCCCCATCCCCTCTGGGTGTCATTATCCCTATCCCTATCCCCTATGTGTGTCACTCTCCCCTTTCCCATCCCCTCTGTGTGTCACTCTTCCCTTCCCCAGCCCCTCTGTGTCATTATCCCTGTTCCCATCCCCTCTGTGTGTCATTATCCCCTTCCCCAGCCCCTCAGTGTGTCATTATCCCTATCCCTATCCCCTCTGTGTGCCACTCTCCCTTTCCCCAGCCCCTCTGTGTGTCATTGTCCCCTTCCCCAGCCTCTCTGTGTGTCATTGTCCCCTTCACCAGCCCCTCTGTGTGTCATTATCCCTATCCCCATCCCCTCTGTGTGGAAGGGGAGAGTGACACCCTTTCCCATCCCCTCTGTGTGTCACTCTCCCCTTCCCCAGCCCCTCTGTGTCATTATAACTGTTCCCATCCCCTCTGTGTGTCATTATCCCCTTCCCCAGCCCCTCACTGTGTCATTATCACTATCCCTATCCCCTCTGTGTGTCACTCTCCCTTTCTCCAGCCCCTCTGTGTGTCATTGTCCCCTTCCCCAGCCTCTCTGTGTGTCATTGTCCCCTTCCTCAGCTCCTCTGTGTGTGTTATTGTCCCCTTCCCCAGCTCCTTTGTGTGTCATTATCCCCATCCTCAGCCCCTCTGTGTGTCACTCTCCCTTTCCCCAGTCCCTCTGTGTTTCATTGTACCTTTCCCCAGACCCTCTGTGTGTCATTGTCCCCTTCCTCAGCCCCATTGTCATCTTCTCCAACCCCTCAGCGTGAGTGTCATTGTCCCCTTCCCTAGCATCTCTCTGTGTCATTGTCCCCTTCCCAAGCCCATTGTGTGTCTCCTACCTCCCTTCATTTAGTGTACGCAAACTGACTATCCAGGCTCCGGGGCCCGGATAATGTGTCTTCCCCAGACTGGTATGCCCTAAGGTTAACAAGGTTAATTTATAAAAGTAACACTTTCTCTGGGCACACTCTTCACACAACAAGCTAAACTGCTTTAGCTTGTCCCTTTAAATAAAAGATCACGTTTAGTACAATTGGGGGGCCATAAAAGGTAAGATCTTCAATTGTATTCAAGCAAATGAGGGACAGTAAAAGTAAAGTATTGCAACTTGTGATATTGAAACTCCCAAATTTATTCAGAATTATTTATCTGTCCTCTTCTCCTCCTCTTCTGTATTCACCCATATGTGCATTGCCTCTGTATTATTATTATTTATATAGCGCCAACATTTTCTGCAGCGCTGTACAATGACAGAAAGGGGATATTTAGAGGTGAGAAGGCCCTGCTCAAACAAGCTAACAGTCTATGGGGATTTTGAGGTAGGTGGATAAAAATATCGTCAGGTGCCTTGCCCCAGAGGCACTTCCTGGTGAGTTGGTCTGACCGGTTTCCCGATCCTAATGCACTGATGCAGTCGCTGTATTAGTTAAGCCGTGCATTACTTGATTCTCGTGATATAATGTCACAATTGGATACATTGTTAAAACTGATATAAAACTTACATACATGAACAAACAGTAGCTGTGTGTTTTGTATTTTACTTTTAATTTGTTTTGTTTATTTTTTTACCCCCTATATTACCCTTATAAAACATATAAATTGAGGTGTAACGCCAATTTATATTTACAGTAAATGTATTACCGACGTGGTTGTGATTTTTCAGCAATTTTACAGCGTGGAAAAAAACCTGACCTTTTTGGATCCCTGCTCGCTTTCCTGAATGTACCGACAAGGAAATGTTTTTCTACACGCGCACAGTCATTCACTGCGCAGTTACTTATTACTGTAAAAACTTTAACCTACCTGGATTGATCTACCAGTGCCAGGGGTGATAGGGAGAGGCATGACTATAAAATCTATCAGGTTTATTGCTGTGTAGCGCTGTGATACGCTCACATACATTGCACAACATTTATACATAATACAGACTAACATCACCTATCTCTGTAAACATTCCACCATATGGTCATATTGTGTTAAGCCCATTGGGCTACTGTGAAGTAGTGGTGGGATAAACACAATATAAAATGAATGTGAATTGGTTTGCTGAGATAGGTGATTTAAAGTAGCCTCATAGAATGAATCTGTATGAAATGTATTTGTATGTGTGCGCAGATCCTTAGACGCACAGCACATTACTGTGAGTTTTATTGTGTGGAGCTCTGTGATACATTAAGACACAAAGCACATTACTGTGAGTTTTATTGTGTGGAGCTCTGTGATACACTAAGACACAAAGCACATTACTGTGAGTTTTATTGCTGTGGAGCTCTGTGATACACTCCAATACGCATTATATATTACTGTGCGTTTTATTGCTATGGAGTTTTCTGAATTACGTATAAATGTTGTTCTTATAATGTAATGTGCAATGTATATGAGTGTATTACAGTGCTACCTCAACAAAACAGATAGTCGTTAAGACCTGCAGTGGTTATGGTACTGCGGTCTTCTATTCCTTCCCCAATATCTGAGCATAAGTGATTATAACTGCAGTAGGAGGTAGAGGAATAGTGTAGATGAATGCAGCTTCCAAGATGATTCTCCCCAGCAAGTAGAATATTCCCCAAACATGAGCCTAGACTTCATGAAGGGTGTAACAGGAATGAAGTTTATTGAGAACACACTGGCTTTTATGAGAAATCCTCCTGCAAGAGGACCTCCCACATTAAACAAAGACAATAACCAATCAACATACAGCTTTACAGTAACCCCCGCCCTCTCTCTGCCTGGGAGATATTGAGATAGATTAAGGAATAACCCAATTATCTCCAGGCAGAGGGCACACCATTTTCCAAAAAGTTAGAACACCCCTTTCCACACAAGGTATCCCCACAAACATATCCCCTGATAGCCCCGATCTGGGGGACCAACATATCCAAATTTCACCCAGATAGGTTCAGGGGTTCTCAAAAAGTATGGAAGTCATAAGTTACCAACCACACACGAGGCTCCTGCCCAAAACAGTTCCA